CTGGCGGAGGCGCGGAGCAGACGAATGCCCGGCGGCGCCGCGGAGCAGACGAATGCCTGGCGGAGGCGCGGAGCAGACGAATGCCCGGCGGCGCCGCGGAGCAGACGAATGCCTGGTGGAGGCGCGGAGCAGACGAATGCCCGGCGGCGCCGCGGAGCAGACGAATGCCTGGCGGAGGCGCGGAGCAGACGAATGCCTGGCGGCGCCGCGGAGCAGACGAATGCCTGGCGGAGGCGCGGAGCAGACGAATGCGCGGCGGAGGCGCGGAGCAGATGAATGCCCGGCGGCGCCGCGGAGCAGACGAATGCCTGGCGGAGGCGCGGAGCAGACGAATGCCCGGCGGCGCCGCGGAGCAGACGAATGCCTGGCGGAGGCGCGGAGCAGACGAATGCCCGGCGGCGCCGCGGAGCAGACGAATGCCTGGCGGAGGCGCGGAGCAGACGAATGCCCGGCGGCGCCGCGGAGCAGACGAATGCCTGGCGGAGGCGCGGAGCAGACGAATGCCTGGCGGCGCCGCGGAGCAGACGAATGCCTGGCGGAGGCGCGGAGCAGACGAATGCGCGGCGGAGGCGCGGAGCAGACGAATGCCCGGCGGCGCCGCGGAGCAGACGAATGCCTGGCGGAGGCGCGGAGCAGACGAATGCCCGGCGGCGCCGCGGAGCAGACGAATGCCTGGCGGAGGCGCGGAGCAGACGAATGCCCGGCGGCGCCGCGGAGCAGACGAATGCCTGGCGGAGGCGCGGAGCAGACGAATGCCCGGCGGCGCCGCGGAGCAGACGAATGCCTGGCGGAGGCGCGGAGCAGACGAATGCCCGGCGGCGCCGCGGAGCAGACGAATGCCTGGCGGAGGCGCGGAGCAGACGAATGCCCGGCGGCGCCGCGGAGCAGACGAATGCCTGGCGGAGGCGCGGAGCAGACGAATGCCCGGCGGCGCCGCGGAGCAGACGAATGCCTGGCGGAGGCGCGGAGCAGACGAATGCCTGGCGGCGCCGCGGAGCAGACGAATGCCTGGCGGAGGCGCGGAGCAGACGAATGCGCGGCGGAGGCGCGGAGCAGACGAATGCCCGGCGGCGCCGCGGAGCAGACGAATGCCTGGCGGAGGCGCGGAGCAGACGAATGCCCGGCGGCGCCGCGGAGCAGACGAATGCCTGGCGGAGGCGCGGAGCAGACGAATGCCCGGCGGCGCCGCGGAGCAGACGAATGCCTGGCGGAGGCGCGGAGCAGACGAATGCCCGGCGGCGCCGCGGAGCAGACGAATGCCTGGCGGAGGCGCGGAGCAGACGAATGCCTGGCGGCGCCGCGGAGCAGACGAATGCCTGGCGGAGGCGCGGAGCAGACGAATGCGCGGCGGAGGCGCGGAGCAGACGAATGCCCGGCGGCGCCGCGGAGCAGACGAATGCCTGGCGGAGGCGCGGAGCAGACGAATGCCCGGCGGCGCCGCGGAGCAGATGAATGCCTGGCGGAGGCGCGGAGCAGACGAATGCCCGGCGGCGCCGCGGAGCAGACGAATGCCTGGCGGAGGCGCGGAGCAGACGAATGCCCGGCGGCGCCGCGGAGCAGACGAATGCCTGGCGGAGGCGCGGAGCAGACGAATGCCCGGCGGCGCCGCGGAGCAGACGAATGCCTGGCGGAGGCGCGGAGCAGACGAATGCCCGGCGGCGCCGCGGAGCAGACGAATGCGCGGCGGCACCGCGGAGCAGACGAATGCGCGGCAGAGGCGGCAGCGGCGTGGAGAAACGCGTTAAAACGGCCGTGCACCACGCTTACCGCTCATTCACACAGGAAGCGGATACGCGTTCACAAAGCCGTTGCGAAGGCGGTTGTATAAAGATGCTAGCTCGCGTGGTAGGGATTGTAAATCGCTACCGTTACATATTGCCAACAAATGTGAAACTCTTGATCTATAATTCCTTGTTTTACTCCCACTTAGCCTACTGCTACCTCGTTTGGGGTACATCAACGTTAACTAATATTGAAAAACTGTTCATACTACAAAAGAAAATACTCAGAGGTATAGGTAATGTGCCTTTTGATTTTCACAGTGCCGAATTATTTAGAACCTATAGGATAATTGATGTTCATAAATTGTATTCATATCGACTTTGTACCAGTTTTAAGAGTGAAAGATTAAGGGGCACATGTTTTCTAGAAAATCTTGCATTGTTAGAGGAAAATTCACCAGTGTATTCTACTCGTCATGCGGAGAAGTGGAAGATGGTCACCCAGCGAACGAACTATGGCTCTCAGATGCTCCAATTTACTCTTCCAAATTTGTTAAATACTTTTTGCAGTAGTAATGTTTCTCTTGAAAACTTGACTTTCAAAGACTTGCGTGAATATTTTTGTACATAATGCATTCCTTTCATAAAGCGTTATATGTTTTGTTTTTCTGTTAACAATACCTGCAGCTGCTAGTTGACGTGATTTTCATCTTTGTTTCCTGATGCTTGCCGCTGACCACTGTAAGGGGACCGAGGACCAGTCAAGCTGCATATCGCAGCTTTTTTCCTCGGGCTCCCCCATCAAAATTGATGGAAATAAAGATATTATTATTATTATTATGCAGTGCAATTGCACGCGCACTTGACGTCGTCGAGTGCGCGTGCAATTGTACTGGATCTTTATACAACCGCGTTCGCAACGGCTTTGCGAACGCGGATCCGCTTCCAGTGTGAATGAGCGGTCAGCGTGCGGCGGCGGCGTGACTTTGAGGCGACACCGGCGCCGCGCGACGGCGCACATGTGTACCACGTGACCAGCGGCGGCTTCCGTGGCCGCCAGCTACAAATGCGTATTGAGTCGTAAATAATTCCCTAAATTTTTTGTTTCTTCGTTGTAAATTCGTTTTCTCCCGATCGAAAAGACCATCAGGTTTTCCTGATGGACCATCAGAGTTTCTTGATGGTCCATCAGACTTTTCTGATGGTCCATCAGGTTTCCTGATGGACCATCAAAGAAGTCTGATGGACCATCAGCCCACTCCTGATGGACCATCAGCCCATTCCTGACGGACCATTAGACTTCTTTGATGGCCCATCAGGCTTCCTGATGGACCATCAAGAAGGTCTGATGGACCATCAAGAAAGTCTGATGGACCATCAGCCCATTCTTGACGCACCATCCGACTGTCCTGATGGACCATTAGACTTCTTTGATGGCCCATCAGGCTTCCTGATGGACCATCAAGAAGGTCTGATGGACCATCAAGAAGGTCTGATGGACCATCAAGAAGGTCTGATGGACCATCAAGAAAGTCTGATGGACCATCAGCCCATTCTTGACGCACTATCCGACTGTCCTGATGGACCATCAGATGCGTTTAGATGGTCCGTCAGAAGTTCCTGACGGCGCCTAATGGTCTGTTGGACATTCTTGATGGGCTGTCAGAGGTGGTCTAATGGTCGTCAGAAGTTTTATGTTTCACTTCGGTTCCATCAAAAGCGCCTTATTTCCCGGCCGTCGGGACTTTCTTTGCGCACAATGTTTATCAAAAGTGCTTGAATAATTGTTGCTCGCGGTATTCTGACGGCGCCGTCAGAGGCGTTTAATAACAATTGATATATGGGTCGCGACATATTTGCCAGAATGCGATGAGTCGCGGGCTCGCGAGGTGCTGACACAACTTTGTCACGCGATTTGTCTTTACTCACTGAGTCCCCGATTCACCGGCAACTGTGCGTTCGTCTGCAATCACGCACCGTGGAAATTTCCCGTACTCACGGTAGGGTTCATCGTTTCGCATATGCTTCATCTACGCCTTTCATTACCAACGGAAGGTGGACAGACTTTTCGTCGACACATTAATTTTTATAGACACGGCACCCCCCGAGCCCCGCAACCGTTGTGCGCATCGGATGGTCGCGGCGGCAATTAAGTTCAGCTTCCAAACAGACCGCGCGGCCATTGCTTTGCTTTACTTTGCTCGAAGGTTAAATAGTCGGGGAAATGCGCCACCGCCTCGCTGAATGAGCGGCCCAAAGTCGAGGAGGCTCCGCAACTTTGCACGCTACAAAATAGGCGATTTGAGGCTATGTCGCGATAAAAAAAGCTGTCGTTGAATCTCGACTATGATATATGATGGGCCGCAGCCGCGTGGTCAATGGGTTGATGTGATTTTTTTTATTAAGGAAAAGCCTTATATGTCTCGTCATTCAGACGACCTTAAAAGTTCTTGAGCGGAAACACGTCGAGTCACGAAAGGTACTAAAACCGGCGACATGAAAGGTAGAAAAACCTGCATTATTCAGTATTCAGCTGCACTATACTTCGTTTCAGCTTCGTTCCGAGCGCGGCCGCTGTTATGAGCCGAAGGGCCAATCAGACAGCGAAAGAGACACAACGTCATGGCGTGCTCTCTGCAATACCAGCCGGTATTCGCCGTCTCCCTGTGCGCGTTCCTTCGCCGGCTAGTTGTATCAAGCGGAGAGAGCACACCATGACGCTGCGCTTTTTGCGTTGTTTGATTGGCCCTTCGGCTTATAACATCGGCCGCGCTCGGACCGAAGCTGAAACGAAGTATAGAACCCTTTTGGACCAGGGCGGTCGTTAACGAAGCAGCTTCGCATGGGTTTTAGACTGAATTAAAGTTTTCAACACCACCGCCACCCACATAGATATAATAAAAATAAATAAAAAACACAAAAAAAAACTCCCACAAAAAACGTTTTCTTCCTTCTCCCAAAGGGGGAGTCGAACCAGCGACCTCTCGTTCCGTATGCCGACGCGCTACCCCTGCACCACGGGCGGAGGACTGTCGAGGGTCGCGTAAATTATGAGTTGGTCTTTAATGTATCCGCTACTGCCGACGCATCGGCTACTTGCGGCGCCAGTTTCTTTACACGCAGTGTTGACACTTGACATATTTCTCTCAAAAATTTTCTCATTAAAGTTCATACGCAGTGTTCGACACTCGACGATCCGTTAATTTCAATGTATACTTTATATTTTGAAAAACATTCGCCGCTTATATCCGTTCGACCAACTGCGTCTTCAAAAGCTTCGAATCCAAATCCAAATCCAGTTGTTTCGTGCGCTTTGTTGCCTCGGCAGCCTCACCCTTCCTCGTGGAGTGTTTTCGAGGTTTTAGATATTTCGGTAGGTTTCACTCGATTTGGCGAGAACGGAGAAATAAGCGACGTCCACAGGGCTTTATTTAAAAACTGCAATCCTTCGAATGTGGTCGACTTCGAGCGTAGGACGGCGTACAAGGTGTCTTGGGACGGCGACGCGAACGCTCGAGGAGGCTATTACGACGCCGAGATCCTCGAACTGACGGGTGAGTGTGTATTTTTTACCATCCCGAAGTGCGACGTAGCCACAAGCAGTCGCCGTTTTCTTTCTTTTTTATTGCGACTGTAATTAAAAGTGAACATTGTAGATTGCTTATATGGGGCACCAAGCTAGGCAGATGAATGCACGGGCTAATACTTCAGTTGAGCGTGTGGACTGAACTGCCTTGCACGTGATATCATATGGCACCCTGCAAGCCGCCATTGCTCCTGTGCCTTAAGTCCGCGCTAATTTACTCGTACTCCACCGTTCCGAGTTTCACACTCCGAGCGCAGCAACTAAAAGAATCATAGCGTACAGTAGCGCAACACACCGTAGCTGTCGGCGAGCTGTATGAGCCACTTCCGACCACAGTTTTATGACAGACCCAGCATTTCGCGGATGCCAAAATTATTTTGAACATAAATTAATTAAGGGCTCTGTAAAATGGTAAAGTAAAAGCCCCCCCCCCCCCCCCCCCAAAAAAAAAAAAAAAAGAAAAGAAATGCGCGGCGACGTTAGGAAATTTTTACAAATGTTTTAATATTTGTGAAAGGTTTGAAGACTCGCTTCGACCAGATATGCTGAACGTTACTTTGACCGATCTATTTATTGACCATGCATGCTGCTTAGATTCAAATGAAAGATAACATTCTTGAACTCGCTTGTCAAAACAAGAAACTCTCAAACTTGTCAGAAATCTTGGGTTTCCGTCTTCCAGCGCGAGACGGAACCTGTCGATGTGCTACTCCAATACTAGCACACCACCGTTCAATAAATAGCACATTAATTAGTTTTCAGGCGAGATGCATGGACAAACTTTTTCCGCAATGTTTTCGCTTTCCAATCGAAGTATCTTTATTCGCAGGGCTGTGCATTCTACAAAGGGCAGCGATCGGACTGTCCTCTCATCTCGACAACTTTTCTGTCGCTGTACCATCATAACGCTATTGTTCGATGGGTAATTGGTTTTCAGGTGAGATTCGGGAACAAACCTTTTCCGTAATGGTCCTGGCTTTGAAATCAAATCATTTTACTCGCTGGGTTAAGCATTCTTCAACTGAAATGAGGCAGCGATCCACTGCACTCCTCGTCTCGGCGACGTTTCTGTCAGCGCGAAGAAATGACTTGCACTTCGAGAAATACTCGGTGCAAAAAGAGCACGCTTGAGTGTCAGTCCTTTGGTGGCGCTTCTGTCCATTTAATGAACAGAGCGCCAAACTCTTGCGCTCCGCAGCACAAACTTAGGCGCACAATCGTGGCTGATTCAATGTCAATTCATGCGAGTCATATAATACATGGCTTGCATTGATGTTGCATCAGCTGCCATTGCTTCCTGACCAATTTATTTATTCATGATCACAGATGTACAGTCGGGGGCAAAAGTCCCCAGGACGTGCTAGCTGCGGCTGAAACCCATTGCTCTGCCACCTGCCGGTGGGTCGCCTGGTTTCGAGATCACACAAAAGCGCATGCGCGTCCTACTCTGCCTGCAAACATGTGCGTTCCCTGCTCTTCTGCAGCACAGCACCTAACTAGGAATCGGGCACATGGTACTGCCTCGGAGATAGCGCTGGCGCTGACGAGCATCTGCTATACATTCCAAAACTCGAGATACCGCCTGGGGCATTGCGCCGCATTTCGTCGTGTCAGCGCACCTTGCTTTATAACCAGTTCAGCTTATCGCTTAATTGAGCTGCCGTGACTTCTTGCTTTATAGGTGCCGTGTCAGTAAGCACTATCTCCGAAGTGGTACCACGCGCCCGATTCCGAGTTAGGCGCCGCGCCGCAGCAGAGCGGGAAAGCGCACACGTTGGCAGGTACAATAGGACGCACGTGCGCCCTTCTGCGATCTCGAAACCAGGCGACCCGCCGGCAGATGGCAGAGGAATGCGTTTCAGTCGCAGCTTGCGTGTCCTGGAGACTTTTGTCCCCGACTGTACCTACAAGAAACCCAAGAGGAAATGGCAACTGAACTGGCCAGGCGCCAACAGGCAGCTGAAGCATCTGCAAGTTCACACAAAGCTGCTCCTCCCAGGAACGTCAGCCCTTGTGCCCTCTAACGCAAAGCAGTTTTTGTGGAAATTTTGTCACCAGAATATCATTACCTGTCTATGTAATGTGGTACAGCCTATTTTTTCTAGGAGTGTCCAAAAGCTCAATCTTAACGCTAATTAAATTTTTAGATGCGGTTTATGTCAGGACAAAAGCTGAAAGTGACGATGTTGCAAGGCTCTCAAAAGCAGCGCCAGCCACATATGGCTAGCAGCGACCGAAACGGGCACACAACTGGCCAATCCAATTGATGCAGAAAGAGAGCTGGTCGTGCACAAAATGTGAGTGTGGAGAGCAGCTTGGGAATCCCAACACTGCGTAATGTCATGTCGAGTCCTTAACATTTATACTTCCTTGGGATTGCTCTGTTTCACCACTCAGTCAAGGCTTATGCAGTTTACCAAGCCTTCTTTATTTCACAAAGGCCAGTAAAGCAGTCGGGAGTGACAAGGAAGACAAAGAATCAACTAAATCACAAAAAAAAAAAAAGAAAAATAGCACAGGGATCCAGTTTGGTGCCGGCAACAATGTGTTGTCATGATTTGTTGATGAGGAATGCCATGCTTTCTGCCTACACCCCAATGTGCGTGAGAATGCTGCTAGGGGGCACACCAGCAGAGCTGCCAGAAACACCTTTCTCTGACTTACCCTGCTCTATCAATTGCAGGACTACCTGCGGCTCGGCTGTTGATGCGGGAGGTGCTGTAGGGCCCTACTGCCTAACACGTAAGTCATTTATGGCCTGACCTCTGGGTACTCGTATGTTTACCGTACTAACAGAACCCATGCTTTAGCATTAAAAAGGTAACTTTTTTAATGAACCTGCAGTATATGAAAGAAGTTTGCTGTGCGGTGATAGAGCCGAACATGTCATAAGCAACACATGGCTTATATATTGCATAGAGGATATTCATTCATAAAGGGTGGAAACAATAATGCTGAGAAAGAAGGCATGAACGGCAAAGAGCTCTCTACTCTACTGTTGTGGCTGCGCTCTGTTGCTGAGCAGAATGACCGAGGAATGTCCTTCCTACGTCATGACTACGTAGCAAGTTCCCCAATGTTGCTAGATTACCTCCCAAATAGGCTCCACATGCATCCACCAGGTGCACATTGAAAGATTGTTTGATTAGCTTTAAAATTAGTTTGCTTGTGCCCTTCAGGAAAGGACTGGTATTTTTGAGGTTATGTTGCAACCTGCAACTCATTAAAGCGATAAAATGAGCGCTGGAATTTGGTTTCTGTACCTCTTTAATGTGAAATTGTTTTTTTCAGTTGCTGACGAGGACATCCTTGCAAAGAATGAGATCGTGGATCCTAGCATCGGCCTCCAGAAAAGGAAGGAATGGTAAAATAGAAAAACTTTTCACTTTCATTCAGTGTATAATATACATTAAAAAAGTTTAGGATAGTGCAGGGGTGGCCAGAGTGACATGGAGTTAGAGCCGCAGACAAAACTACGAAAGTTTAGAGTCGCTGGAAGAAAGAAAGGGGGGGTGCTACTTTTAACAAGAAACAATATGCAGGGAACAGTTATTTCCATAGATTACAAGTATAATGGGCGATAACAACAAATGACACTATGCATCAGAAGGTCCTTTCCACTGCTAAGCAAAAATTAATACACAATTCACTAGCCAGTCACTGCCCCTGACAACTGTTATGCGTATACGGTTGAAAGTCTTTCTAGAACAATAAAGGAAACGGGGTCACTCGACGCATCTATGTGGCAAAAAGCATTCCAGGTGTATATATGTAGTGTGTTGCCAGGCTGCCAAGACTTGTAGCTCTTTCTAAATTCTAGAACCCTTTTCGTCTAGGGGACACGTTTTCCAGGGAGCCGCGAGCTGCACTTGGACCCGCAAAGAGCCGCGTGCGGCTCGCGAGCCTCACTTTGGCCACTCCTGAGATAATGTAAGCACAGTAGATTGAATCGATTGCAACAAGAAGTCATTAAAACATTATTGTAGCCAGGCTCTTAATTGTAGTTACAGCCAGTGCCTGGAAAACATTCTGTTGTCATGCTCACCTGATGCAACTAAGGGATTATGTTGCTGTTTCATGCAGATGCCATGAAGCTTTGTAGGCCCATCAGCTTCGCAGACGCCCATGAAGATAGGAATTCATGTGTAGTGCTGTCTTAAATTTAAAGGCCTAAATTTCATTAATGTAATAATTTTAGTGCATTTTCAATGCATCTTGGAGTATACAGTACCACTCTACGTCAACGACTGGTATATGTGAAGCTGTTTCTCGCTTTTGTTTATAACAGATCCATGTCGGGCAAGGTGTGCACGTCAACCAGGAATGCGGGCAACATGCGGAGAGCAGAGTGCGACTCCATGTTTTGCAAGATCACTGCTGCTTCCATAGGGTGAGTGGAAGTGCTTTTGGAGAGGTCGGTGACCGGCACCCTCTCCAACAAGGCAAAGGCAGCGAGGCAAGAGAAGGCGTTTGCCCCGCTCACTCAGCGCAAGGTGCAGGCTCTCTCATTAAGCAAGCATTTTTAAAATCTTGATATGAATCTCGCGGAGTCGCGTAAAATATTTCATGCTAAATTCGTATCAACGAAAGAGAAACAAAATTTATATTTTGAAACAAGGGATGCATGAATGGGCATTTATTTATGACAGAAAATATCTTGTATGCAATTTACACGATTCTAACACGCCCCCGATAGTAACACACGGTTATAATCAACCCACGAATGTTGAAAAAATGAATTAATGTCGATTCTACTGCGCAGATAAATGTCGATTCTACTTCGCAGATAAAATAATGACGGCTGAACAACATACACTTTGTGGAAAACATTTTATCAAATGCACATACTCGGAAAGTGCCCACACTATGTGCTGTTGAAGCCCTACATCAAAAACTTGCAAGCAAAAATTCGGTTTCTTTGTCTTTCCAACCAAGCTCGCATGTCACCGTGGACCACACCGAAGACACCACCAACATCACTCGGTTTTCTGTTTTTGCCAACGCAGTTACTTTGTTTTTTAGAGGTAACCTTATAGTAAAATCGGTTTTGCTTTTCCAAGGCTGAAACACCATTCCACGAGATCGTAAAAACAAAAAAGCGATTTTGGATTCAGATTGGATTGAATTTGAAACATGTGTTGATGGTGACGGGGCTGGCCACTTTGCAGTTTTTTTTTAGCATTTTGTTTAGTTTTGGTTTTTGGGTCCGATTGTAACATGCATGTAATTTTGAGCTCCAGTTTTTGGGTAAAGTGCGGCTGATCCCTGGCAGCAACAGGCAATCAGCCGCCCGGAGCCTTGAAAGCTTACAGTCGCCGATCGTGGCCTCCTTGCCACTATCAGTTGTGGAGCACGCATTCGTATCAGCCGTCGCAGTGCGTAGAGGAATTCGGAACACCCAAAAATTTTCACGTCGTATACCATGCACTTCGGCCGGGGAATTTGTTAATTTGTTTTATTCCGAAATTCGTACCAGTTAGTATCACCGAGATTTTACTCTAGTAGGTTGTCTGCTAACACCTGGACATGTGATGGGGGTACCCCGCCAAGAATGAGTCAATCATAACAGATAATAACCGTAAATAATCGCACATTTGTATTTTGAACAGATAATTTTATTTTTCGTTCTAAGCAACAAACTCGAGCAAGTGCTCGAAGAGAAGTCAACGGAGAGCTCGATGCGTCGTGGGCTATCCGGCAAAGCTGGCGTGGCTACGAGCTGTGCCGTTCGGGTGCATAGTGGTGGTGTAGACGTGTTACAGCCTAGCCATTTGAAACACCTGTGGGCTTTACGTGGACCAAAGCGGACTAAGCTGTCTAAGCGCCTATGTGTGAGATAAGTAATGTCAAGGTCATCGCGTTCAGGGTGAGATTACTCCAACAGTTGAGTATACCTCCAAACAGCGGCGCTGCTCCGATGTGTAGTGCAGCTACATAGCGGTTTTCGCCATGTCACGACTACGTCCAAGATCCCCAACATTGCTAGATTACCTCCCAACGAAGCTTCAGAGGCCTCCACCAGGTGCACATTGAAAGACTGTTTAATTACCTTTAAATTTAGAGCCAGGCCATGAATGGAAGATCTTTCAAGGAATGTGAAAGATTGTTTTTATATAGAACTGCATTGTTCTTTCTGGTGCTCATGATGCTATTTTTTTAATTCTCTGGCGTGTCTAAGCTGTTACCACAGCGAGGGATGATAACCAAGTATAAGCAGTTTCCAACGTACATTGTCTACTTATCTACAGTTGTAGCTCCTATTTCTTACAAGGTCACTAGCCTAGCAGTGAGATTTATAGACATAGGCTACCTGTTTTGTGCTTAAAAGAATCTAACAGAAGCCAGGGTGAGCTGTCTATTGGGAGTGGAACATAAATCAGGATACTGCAGTACTTTTGCTTTCATGGTGATCTCTGAACACTGTAAATACTAAGAAACGTTGAAGGTTTGTTAGGTGCCAGCTGCCACTTAATTGCTTTTATTTGAGACTAATTTACCCTTGGTCTTCTCAAACTATGACCCTCCAGCCTGTATTTATGACATTCTATATTGTTTTAAGTCTGAGCACTGCAAAAAATAATCCCCCTGGAATTTCAATATTCCAGGCTGCTTTTGACTACACCTGAGGGAGAAAGGTACCACCAGGCTGAAAGGGCAGCCCGGCACCAGAAGATACGGCGGTACCTGTCAGAAAAGTTGCCCAATCTCAAAAGAAATCACTACAAAGGTATGTGCATCTATACTCTAACTTCCTTAATTAAGTAATATACTATTTTGGGTCTCAAGTTTACAAGCAATTATTTTAAATGACGGTACAGATAAATTATTTAGTGGTTAATATATCTAAATGTTTATGCAAACAACTTTAAAGTAGTCTGTTGATCAGCTGACCACTTGAAAAAGGCTGTGGGTTGCTTGGTCGCTACTGCCATCCCATCAGGCCGTGCTCGCTCACTCCAAAAAGTTGCATGGTCACACAATTACAATGAAGCACGTCACTCTTACTGCCCCTTAGTCGTCTCTAGGCCCACTCTGCTGTTTACGTATGTCAATGGTCGTCCTGTGTTTGGACTCATTGCTGATCTCTGAATTGGCCTTGATATGTCCAGGCTCATCCCTTTGCTGCCTGTCCTCCCCCGATGCGTGGTCCCACCACGGACTGCCCATGCTGTTGCAGGTCTGCCATCGCTTGCACCCCATGTTGTAGCCTTTTTACCCTTTTCTTCATATTAATTTAGCTTAATTTATATATTGCCAATACTATTGAAATGGAACAAATGTACTATCGCAGCCAATATGAGCTGAAACGCCACTGCACGTGGCACGCGATGAGAGTTGTCTCTCAGATTGTTCAGCAAACCTTGGTATGCGTTGAGGTAGAAACAAATCACTTCTTGTGCTCGTTGCACCACTATGCCGTTCCGTGTCAATTTTCAGCTCATGGTGGCACAATGAGTGCAAGAAGCAACCTGCCTAAACCTCAGCAAACACAGAGGTTCACTGATAATCCGACAGGTGGCTCTGATAGTACCGCACGCCAAGCGTCATGGCGCTTCAACTAATATTGGTCACAATAGTACTTCCTCGAATGTTTCTGGTTTTTCTGTACTACCTAGCCATTCCGCCCAGCGAAACAATGTATGATTTCATAACTTCATAATAAAAATATCAAAGCAATGCAGCTTGTTTGACTTTATTCTTATTAGTCGCTGCATTCGCCGTACTCAAATGTCGGGCTGGCGATTACCAGTGTGCAGTGGACAATATAATTAAATTCTAAGTGGGATATGCACCTCGTCATGCTCCAGGCATGGCATAATTAAGTTTCCAGATTATGCATTCACATATTGTTGTGTTTTTTAAGTTGTGGCTAACTCGATTTGTTTCAAATTAGCCATGAAACCACCCTAATCAAACCGTAAAAAAATAGGCATCTCAAAATACGACAGGTTATTCGACCATCAGACCAATCCAACAGACCATCAAACCATCAGGCCATCAAACCATCAGGCCAACAGACCATCAAACCATCAGGCCATCAAACCATCAGGCCAACAGACCATCAAACCATCAGGCCAATAGACCATCAAACCATCAGACCATCAGGCCATCAAACCATCAGACGTCCCAAAATACGACTCCATCAGACCATCAGACCATCAGGATTTTCCTGATGGTCTTTTCGATAGGGCTAACATTATTTTTCCATCTAGACTGTTTACAAATTTTTTTGCGTGTTCTTTTTAAGCGTTTTGGTTCGGAATTTGAAATGACATACCTTTGTTTCGTATGCAGAAATGTATATAGCCCAACCTTGTCAAGCTGACATACCTGTCACTTTACGACAAATTTCTTCGTCTGGATAGTACGAGGCGGCAGTATTTTTAACACAATGTAAAGGAAAAACTTACCTCATACAACGATAAATGAAAACAATTAGGTTTTATGTAAATTTGTATTGAGTCATTTATTAGACGTGTCAAATTAAGTATACAAAAACCTTCAGAATATTTTATACCACAATTACAAGATGAACAATGTACAAATAATTGTCAGAACATTCGAACGGCCAACTACAGTGTTTTCTCTTCACTGTGACAAAAAAAAACAAAAAAACGCGTTATGCGTAAAAGACCACACAACTCATACGTTGTGTGTTCTTTTCAATCTCAGCACCTGTTTAGATCAACGGCCTGGACATCGCGGTGACGTCAAAGAGTCTTTGAAGAGGGCCTGCATGCGACGTAGTTTAATCACACCTGTCTGTAAGGACAGTCTTTGACAAAGACTGTCCTTACAGACACGAGTGATCCCACTACGTCGCATTCAGGTCTTTTTTTTTTAACGCTCGTAATATTAAAATCACTTTCATGGTACATCGACATTTCTTTATTTTTTTTTAACATTTGGATAAGACGCCGGGAGGAAAAATAACACAACAAAAACACTTTCGCGTCAGCAAAACCACAAACAAATGGCTGCCGTAACACCCCGTAGTTCATAATGCTGAATGTACTTCAGTGCCAATATAGGATGAATACAGAGTAATTTGCTGGCCTGCTAACGCGATAAGAAATCCTACAATTACTGTCGAATATTCCCCGATAAACTTTGATATCTTGCAGAATTATTGTTTCACATTAGACTGTCTTCTAACAGGACTTATTTTGAACGTACCGGGTCATTTTGTCTACTGGCAATATGGGCTCCTCCCAACGATTGCTATCGACAGCCTGAACGCACGGTGCGCGAGTGGGCCGACCCTTCGCGACTCCCGGTGGCGTACACGGACGCATCAACAATCGAACACGAAGATGCAGCGGCGGCTATGCACTTTGTCCGAGGCGAAGAGACGCGGCCAATCCGTCTGTCGCACGGCACGAGCGCCAAAAACGCCGAACTGGCGGGCAATTTAACTCGTCATAGAGCACCACCGAGCCCCCCTTCGAAAGATGGATGTTCTTCGAGTCTACGCAGACTCCCAGGAAGCACTCCGCGAATGGAAACGGCGACACACGGGCAGAGTTAGAGTGCTTCAAATAAAACGCCTGGACCTCTTGGTCGAAGGGGACCAGGGAACGACGCTCCCAATTCCCTGGATTCCTTCCTGGCCCCTCGTGCCTCCTCGGGAACGAGGAGTCCAACCTAGCCCCTCACGAGCTCCTCTCTGTTTACAGACGGGACGTCCAGCCTGGCATCTCTGTCGCCTTCGGTCTTAACCCAGCAAGGCGAGCGTTACAACCCGGACACGATGATTCAAAGGAGCCGGCTAACGCGGCGCAAAAAGCACTTGACGTGTCTACAGGTCCCTGATCCCGATCCGCTTCGGATGGGTTTTAGGAGATTCGAAACAGTCCTCTTCCGTCCCGACGTGGCAGAACGCTGGCGCAACTACTGACAGTGCCTCACTAGTACGACGACGAAGCCGTCAACCGGACACCACTGAACCTGACCCGGCGTCGAACACCTCCTCATGACCTGCACGGCTTCCGAGAAAAGGAGCTCTCAAGCCTACCTCGAGTCCATAGGCAAAAAATCAGGGAACGACAATACCTGTGCTTGGTTAACATCGGAGGTTTTAAATGACAAACTAAAAACATCATTTAATACACTTGCACTTTCAGTTTCTGGTATATCTATACCACCATATGATTAAAAAACAATGTTGGACTGACACTTGGGATTAACGGCATTCCACAATTGTTTAATATTATTTGCTAACATGATATTCAGTGTATGACTAAAAAAATGTGATTAAGCGTATATTCTTGATGTGCAGTTTTGTACGCTGCCGACCGTGCATCAGTGGATGATCGTTTGGGAGCGTGAAACAGTCTTTTTTTGTATTAATAGAGGAAATGACGCACTATTTTTCACTTAATTGTTTTTTTAGATTTCTTGCGCGTACACAAATCGGCTCTGCAATATAGCAGCGATTCAACTCACATATCCAGCACGTATACACATAGAAAAATAAACTAAACTAACGCATAGAGGGCACGCGAAATCATTTAGACATCAATAAAAGGAACAAATATAATAAAATTTGAGATGAAGCGCGGTCATTTAAACCGATAAACTTATATTAGTCACTCACCCGAACACGCACGTAAACGAACACGCGGGCACACTCGCACTTACGCATAAAAACACCCGCCCAAATAAGCACACACAAAACACGCCACGAGAAGAAACAACACTGACAAATTCGTACGCCCAGCAATTGCTGATGCGAATCAAAATAAGCATGCACCCACACCAACGCCGACACAAGCACCGATCGCCGAGGCGTACGTTTCACTAGAATTGCTGCCACGTAAAGAAACATAAAAACATAGAGACGCTGTAAGTTGAACACAAATTCTAAAAAAAACAAAAACGAGCTTTCTTTTTTTCTCTTTTACATTCAAAACGAGCGCACAAACACACGCACTCAAAACACCGAGTGGACGTCAACGTACATAAAAAAAGCTCAATGTCACGCCTCGCGTAGCAAAAACCGCATCGCTTTAAAATGTCTCCAACGAAGCGTGGGAAGTCAGGGCTCAAAGCCGTTGCCTCCCGTTTCCGTCAGCTCTATTGCGGCGGCGCGTATTCGAGACTACGTTTTTAAATCCCTTCGCTGATCCCTTCTCCCCTCTTCTTTCCCTTCCTTCTCCATTTCGCAGCTTTCCTCGTGAGGGGGGCGGTGGAGAGAGTGCAACTCAAAGGGCTCCCAGGAGATAAGGGACGAATCTGTCCTCCTTTCTCTTTTCGTATCACCCACAGGAAGGGGGAGGGAAGGCTTTCCCGGACCCCCGTAAGTGAAGACTGCACCCCGGGAGGTTCGCTCGCACGAGCACAAGGCCTCGCCATGTGGCAGCCACGTGTACAGTCTTTTATTGTCATCATCGGCTATAATCACACACCGCGGCTCGTGGTAGGATGCAGTGTCGAGTATCAGGTATACGCTTAGCGCGACGTTCGTTGTAGGGCAACACTTCGTTAGTTTCATTTTTCGTCACTTTCTTCATTCATTCCTTCATTAATATTTTTTTCTGTATCAACCAACTTAGCGCTTATAAACAAGCCTCTTGGTTCCCGGAAGCTGTGGGCACTGTTTATGTGCAAGGACCCGTTGTTGTTCTTGGCATGCGATGTATCTACTCGTGCTTCGTTTCTCAGCCAGTGCCACCTGTCGTGAATGGCCCCAACAACATGAGCTGCAGTACTACCAACTTCAAGAGAGTAAACAACACCCAGGCCTAGAAAGAGGATCGATGCGCATGAAGTTGAAGCTATCAAAACCGTCAGCATGATCTTGTATGGAGAAGGTATCCCAAAACTTTAACAAGACTACACTGGGCAAGAATATTAATTTTAGGGATTTACTTTCCTCAAGATAACGAAAATATATTACTTTTTTGTATAACTCATTAAAATGTTTTACGATAATCCCTGACTTCGACGACGCCCTCCAGAGATTGTAATAAAATATCCTTCAGTAGCAGAAAGGTCGAGTCAGCATGGTCTGTGCCTTCGACAGAAGTGCTGCCGAGCTACGCTTTCCTTCATCTTCACATTTTGACTTTAACCACGTCAGCTTCCATTTTGGTTATTCCTCTTCATCGCTGTCCGGTGCTGCCGAGCTTGTCTTGGGCGGATGCCTTTATCAGAATACAACTCTGAGAGGATGGTATTAACATATATATATCCTGAAGTGCTGACCGATTTAATTCACTATTCATTTAGGTGGAAGCCGCCTCCGTGCTGGCCTATGTTAGGAACTGCAGCACATTACAAACAACACGTTGTTTAATAGGGGTACGTTATTAACAGGGCTCTTATTTCGCACAGTGGCTGGCGACAGACAGATGGCAAGGCTACACCGCGTGTGCAGCGTTGGTACTTTGTCAAGATTATAAAGCGCCCATTCCTCTTTTAGAGCTTTAGGTATATATATATATATATATATATATATATATATATATATACTTAAACTGATGTATTCCTGAGCTTGCCACAGATCTGGGAGCTCTCTTTTTGGCGTCCCTCATTTCTAAAGAGTCAAAAAAAATATTATAAATGCGCAGCCTACTACTTCATTTTATAATAAGGTGGGGAACTGGGCCAGTTGGTTGACGTTATACATGATAGGGTAAACAGCTCAGAAAACACGGACTACGAAGAGGAA